GTTCCTCAGCTGGAGCCGGATTATTTTGGTTGTGCTCAGGTGAGGGAACAATTGCAGGACCTGGAGACTGCGGTGGTTCCTCAAGGACCACAGGTGGAGGAGCTGCTTGAAGGGGAACTGGGAGAATTCTGGAGACCCGTTGATCATTTGGGGATGGTGGTGGTATGAATGTGGATTACCAGCCACTGAGTAACGATGTGTTATATTGAGGAACCAGAGTCTTGTACTGTTCTTTGAAAGGAAACTTTGTTTCATCGAAGATTACATGCCGAGAGATGTAGATCTTGTTTGTAGGCGGATGAAGACACCGATAACCTTTGTGTTGTGTGCTGTAACCAACAAACACACATTGGAGAGACCTTGGATCAAATTTATGAGATGCCAATGGTCGCAAACAGGGGAAACAAGCAGAACCAAATACTCTTAACATTGAGTAGTTTGGTTTTTGCAGATGTAGTATCTCAAAAGGGCTTTTGTTGTTGAGCACCGATGATGGAAGGAGATTACCAAGGAAGCTTGCAGTAAAGAAAGCTTCTACCCAATATTTCAGAGGGGTATGGCTATGAAATAGCATTGAGAGACCGAGTTCCACTATGTGTCTATGCTTCCTTTCTGCAATCCCATTTTGTTGGGGAGTGTAGGGGCAAGACATAATATGTTTGATCCCATTGTCTATAAAGTGTTGCTTTAGAATATGACTTGTAAACTCTCCTCCTCCATCACTTTGGAAGACCTTTATCTTGGAGTTAAACTGATTCTCGACTAGTTTTTGAAACCCTTTGAATACTGTGTAGAACTCAGATTTAGCTTGTAGAGGATAAAACCAAGAAAATCTAGAGAAGTCATCCACAAAAACTGCATAATACTTAAACCCTTGATTCGATACAACTGGTGATGGTCCCCATAGATCACAGTGTATTCGATCTAGGGGATGTAACACACGAGAATCAGAATTAAAAAATTGCAATCTAGAAGATCTCCCCATCTGGCAAGGCTCACACACAGGGAATGTTCTGCTCTTATTCACCGAGATTTCCTTGCTGATTTTGAGCTGTTGGAGAACCTGGGAGCTTGAATGCCCAAGTCGCTGATGCCAGATGTCTTCACTTGCTCCACACTGGCGATTAGAGAACATGGTCACAAACTCCTGATTTTCCAACACATAGAGCCCTTCACGCCTTGGGCCCTTTGACACCACCCTCTGAGTTTGGAGATCAATGATGCAGACTTTGTTAGCATCAAAATATACCCCACATGGATAGTCATCGCAAAGCTTTAAAACAGACAGAAGTGATTTGTGAATATCAGGACAAACCAATACTTCTTTTAAAGGAATGATACCTGAAGACAGAGTGGTGGAACCGACATGTGTAATGGGCAAATATGTTCCATCAGCAACCATAACAGTATCATTACCTTCATATGGAGTGATGTCCTGAAGATTATTGGTTGTCCCTGTAACGTGAGCAGAGGCTCCTGAATCTGGGTACCATTCTTGGCCTGAAGGATCGGAGATCTGCTGAGAGGAGAAGGCTTGTTGAGTGTCTGACTTCTGGTAGTTGTTGTTGAACCGGTTGTAGCACTCTAAGGCCGTGTGACCGTTCTTTCCACAGATCTGACAGGTAGGTCGTTCCCCTATGGTGTTAGATGTTGACCTGTGTTAAGAAAAGCATCGTCCTCTGGTGTTGTATCCACCACGTCCTCTGCTCTGGTTAGAGCGTCCTCTCCCTCTCTGGTTGGAGTTAAACTGCGGAGCATCAGATCTCTGAGCCTGAAAGGCCATTTGTGTGGAGGCTGAATCTTCATAAGATTGGAGCTTGCTGTCAAAGCTTTGAACTTCCGAGATGACATCACTGAAGGTTGGTGTTGGGAGTTTAGTGAGGGAGCTTTGAATCATTGTGGTGATGGGGTCGTATTCTCTTCCCAAACCGTTGAGAAAGCCAAAGATTTTCATGGAGTCATCTACTGGCTTCCCAATGGCACTGAGATTGTCACAGAGAGTTTTGAACTCACGTGTGTAGTCAGCCAAAGTCTTCCCTTTCTTGTTAAGGAGTTGAAGACTGCGACGAAGTGCAAACTCTCTTGCGACAGTGCTTTTATTGAAATGTTCAGCGAGATACACCCATACATCTCTTGACGTGGTGAGATTATGAACAGAACCAAGTACTTCCTCGGACAAGGTTCCAAGAAGCCACGAATGGACAAGTTGATCTGTGCAGAACCACGCTTCATGAGCTGGATTTGGTTCTTGCCTCGTGACACCGCCGTTGACAACTGTGTGAGTTGCTGGAGGAGGCGTTACACCCCCATTAACGAAGCCAAGAAGCTTCTGGCTCGAGAGAAGAGATTTAAACTGTGTTTTCCACAGAAGATAGTTCGAGTCGGTGAGTCGTTGAGTGACGGAGGTCACGACGTGAACGTTGCTCGGAAACGGGTAAAGAGCAGCTGGATCCGCCATTTATGACCTGTTAAGGTTCACAATGGCTCTGATACCATGTAAGAAGAGAGAAAACTTGAAGCTTTTGAACTTTCTTTGTATTTACTCAATGATTTACAAAGCCTTTACAAGAGGGTATTTATATAAAGAGAAGAAGGATCTAGACACTAGGGTTTTGAGTCTCCTATACAGCTGGCAAAGATTAGCCTTCAATGCATATAGACAAGAGAGGCTCGAAGAAGTTGTTCAGAAGCAGAGTCTCTGCAACCTTTGCTTTTGCAGGTACGGAAGTGTTTGTGCTTTTTGTCTTCACTGGTTTCTGTTGACTGAGCTTCAGAGATGGGCTTTGACGTTGTTGGGCCTCTGCATTGGGTTTGTGTGTTCGGCCCACTATGATATTGCTCACATTTATTCCTTTCCATTTGTGATTCTATTTGCGTTTACGTTCTTTTCATAAAAACATGAAATAATATGTTTTTATTTGGAAAACAGCGAGTCATAAGAAAAATATTTGGGTGCCCTAGTTACCCCTTACCTTCATTATACTTCTTCGCCAAGGCACCACCACCTTTCATCCTACGGCCGGATCATGTGGACTGTGCTTCCTTTCTCCCACGATCAGGCGCACCAGTTCGACACTGTTGCCTGCTACATCGTCATAATTTTTTTTTTTTTTTTTTTGAACTGAACGTCCTAACAAATTTGTTCGCAACAAACTTGGTCATAGCGCCTTGGTATTTTTTTTAGAATTAATTCCCTTTGCAAACATGGAAGTTTCAATCTCTAGAGTATAAGCTTTTATAGCTTTGGATCTGTGTCCTGATGAATTACCGGAGGAACCAAAATCAGTTTTGCAAGAATTTTGTACAACACCTCATGTAGTTAAAATCCATGCTATTGTCAACAGTTGATATTCATGTTTCGTATGGCAGTAGTTTTTAATTGGCTTTTGGCTTCTCGCTTTTGGTTTTTGTTATTTCAATAGATTTTTGTATGTGTGTTTAATTCTTGGGAGATTTATTAATAACCTACAAAATATCACATAGTCTCCGATGTTTTCACATAGTCTCTCCAAACCTCCAAGATTAATCAGTTGTTGGGGGAATTCGTCCCCTAATTTAATCGGATTATTTGAGATATCAAAAAAAAAATATTTAATTTAAAATAAAAACGTTGTTCTATATCGACCGTAAAATATTATTTTAGTTACCTTCTTTATCACTTAAATTAATTATTGAGAACAATAAATCAATCAAATTAAATTAAAGAACATATCTTTAACTTGATTTTTAAAAATTAGAAGGTTCAGACGAGTCTCGTATTATCCCAGCCCCGACACAAAAACATGTTATATGGTACTGTCTTAAGTGTCACTCCATTTGTGACCTCTAAACTTCGTCCTTTCCACTTTTGGCCACTCGGTTTATTATAAAAAGTTTTCGTCTCTTCTCCTCTGGGTTTCTTTTGTTTCTGCATGGTGGGTCTGGTTTTTACTGATTTGGGTATGGCTGTACTTTTGGTCATTTTGTGTTTGTACTCTGCTTATCTCGTTAATTAATCTGAAGCTGAAGAAAAAAAAATTGAAAAACGTTTTACTAAAGAAAAACGTATTTAAGAAAAATATAAAAGCTTATATACAAAAAAAAAATAAAGCGTTTTACTTTAAACAACTTACCTATTTGAACAGAAAAAACGATAGATTTTACAAACAGACAAGAGTCAAATGATAATGATAAACTTAGGGGTGTGGAAATGACGAAGAGTACTAAGCCTATTGATGAATTTTTTTGGGAGGTAACCAAAGATTGAGCGACTTCAATTTCTATTGGCTAGCACTGTTGCTAATAATGGTATGCTTACACAATTTTCTTGACGTTGATAATGGTAAATACAGTGATTGTGGTGGTGATGACTAAACGACATGAGGCTAAGATGTTGAATATGCATGAACACGGTGATGTTGTGTATTTCACAACTAATTAATACTAATTCGACCGCTAAGTGTTACAGCTGATATGACCAGACTGCCGAGGATAAATAATATGCTATGATGACTCAATGGTTAGGTGTACAGTCGATGATGATGATCCGAGGACCATATATAACGCTGATATTGTGAAGAAATTTTCAGTTCCACTCGTGTGTTATCATGTAATAATTTGTCAAGAGGTCTTGGAAGAGCGAGCGGGCTCGACTAATTAAGGCCAACTGTGATCCACCAGAGCTGTCGAGCTGAGATTATGATTTGATATCGACCAACTTACGAACTGACATCAAAATTTGATTATGAAAGTAGTTAAAAACTTAGAAATATATTATTTTGTGTTTATGTTAGTTTGGAAAAAAAGCTATATGATAAAATAAAAAAATAAAAAAAAATAACTTTCACTTGAATAGAAGAATCAAGTCATTGATTTTCATGATAAACATAAATTATGACTTTCTTGATTTTTCTATTCAAGTGAAAGTTATTTTTTTATTATTATTTTACCATATAGCTTTTACTACAGTACTTAACTTTCATCTATTTAAGACCTACGAATTCATAGTTGAAGGGCACCACAACATGAGCTTATTTTGGATCATAGGATTGGTTATAACCTTACTGGTTATTAGGATTAGCCATTGGTGGTACCTATGGTCAAACCCCAAGTCTAATGGCAAGTTACCTCCAGGATCAATGGGTTTCCCATCATCGGAGAGACATTCCAGTTCTTTAAGCCTTATGGATTCTACGAGATCTCTCCATTTCTCAACAAGAAGATGTTAAGGTCAGATTCCAAACACCTATCTCTCTCTCTCTCTCTCTCTCTCTCTCTCTCTCTCTCTCTCTCTCTCTCTCTCTCTCTCTCTCTCTCTCTCTCTCTCTCTCTCTATATATATATATATATATATATATATTTATATATTTATATGTATATATATTATTTCCTTACAGAGCATGAAATCTTGCATGTTTGTATGTTGTGTGAGTTAGGTATGGGCCTTTGTTTCGGACGAGCATTCTTGGAGTTAAAACCGTGGTCTCGACAGATATGGATGTGAACATGGAGATTTTACGGCAAGAGAACAAGTCTTTCATTTTAAGTTATCCGGATGGTTTAGCTAAGCCATTAGGAAAAGACAGCTTGTTCTTCAAGACAGGAAACATCCACAAGCACATCAAACAACTCACTCTTCACCTTTTGGGCTCCGAGAATTTGAAGCGGAAGATCATAAAAGATATGGACCGTGTGACTCGCGAGCATCTTAGTTTGAAGGCTAGCGAAGGAAGATTCGACGTCAAAGACGCAGTTTCGAGTGTAGTCTATCTATCTTTTTAATGTTTTTCTAGGACCAAGTTTAGTTACGATGTTGTAGTAATCAATGACGTTGCTTGTGCTAGTCTCTCACAATACTCTTTGTTTAATGTTTGTAGTTGATAACAGCCCACATGACACCAAAGGTGATAAGTAATTTGAAACCAGAGACTCAGTCAAAGCTTATCAAGAACTTCAAGGCATTTAGTTTTGATTGGTTTCGGACATCCTATCCTCTCTCTGCCGGGAGAGGTCTCTACAATACCCTTAGGGTGAGATTTGTTTTTTATATTGTTTTTGTTTTATTTGGGAGTGAAACACGCAAACAATGATTTTTATAATATCATATGCAGGCATGCAGAGAGGGGATGCAAGTGTTGAAAGATGTTCACATGAGGAAGAAAACGTCAGGAGAGATGTACGGTGACTTCCTTGACACGGCAATAGAAGTGTTAGAGAAAGAAGGCGGCTTAGTGAACGAAGATGCGATTATAACCCTAATCTTCACTCTTTCCTGTATCATTCAAGATACCACCTCTAAGGCCACTTGCATGGCTGTTAAATTCATATCGGAAAACCCAAAAGTTCTCGCAGAATTGAAGGTAATATATATACATACGTATATGGATCGAGAAACTATTATATCTGTGGAAAGCTCCAGTAGCCTATTGGTTAATGATTTTATTAATGCTTCTACACCAGGAGATCTGGAGTTCAAATCTCGAAATGCAATTTATTATTAATTTTCAGATTAATGAAGACAAACTTATGTAATAGTTTTCATAATTTGTAAAAGAATAATAGGTCAGTGTAAAAAAAACTAGTATATCTTTCATCTAACCAAGTGATAGCTATCATGGTCCTAGTAAATCTTCCACTAGGCACACCATCTAATTGGCTAATGTAAAGTTCATATGACGGTTGTTTGTAGGTTCAAGGAGATTAGTTTTGTGGGCTACCTAAAAGATATTTTGCATTTATATATATTGAGAAGCTCATGTCTATATGCAATGTAATTTGGCAGAGAGAGCATGAGACGATCCTTGCAAGCAGAGAAGATAAAGATGGTGGAGTTACTTGGGAAGAATACAGAAAGATGACTTTCACCAACATGGTAAACTTCACTTTGCTTTTCTCTAACGCTTGTAGAGAATATTATTCACATAGTGTGTCTTTTATTTACACTCTCTAGGCTATCAATGAGTCGCTTCGATTGGCAAATATGGCTCCTATGATGTTTAGAAAAGCGGTCAAGGATGTGGAAATCAAAGGCAAGTAGTAGTAGTAATCATGTAATTGTAAATAGATTATTAAAGAGCACAAAAAGTTTATATTTTTGTGGGAATATTTTGTTATGTAACAGGATATACGATTCCAGCAGGTTGGATAGTGATGGTTATACCTTCCGTGGTCCATCTTGATCCTGAAATTTATGAAAACCCTTTTCAGTTTAATCCATGGAGATGGGAGGATGGAGATGGGAGGTAAATTATATACATTTAGTCTAGTCTATATATTTTTCTTTTCAATTCTCAAAGATACCATATTCTATAAAATCCTAAATTTATAAATTTAGGTATTGATGATGAAATGTGGTGGGCAGGGGAAAGAGTTGCGGTCTGTGTCTAAAACGTTCATGGTGTTTGGAGCGGGAGTAAGACAATGTGCTGGTGCAGAGTTTGCTAGGCTTCAGATCTCGATCTTCCTTCATCATCTTGTTACCAACTACGATTTCTCGTTGTCCCAAGACTGCGAGGTGATTCGTGTACCAGGTGCTCACTTCCCCAACGGGATCTCTATAAACATCTCCAAGTGTCCCAAATGACTTAATCGGAGACACACTCATATCAACCAAAATACCATCTCCTTTTTTTCTTCTTTGTGTTTTTTGTAATCATTTAAATTTCAGATCTTCTACGGCTCTATGATATCAGTACATTCTATGAAGTGTAATGTATTATAACACGAATCATAGACTATATATGTGGTTTCTTTGTTCTTCAAAGGGTATATCCGTATATGGCACGTACAAGTAGTTTTTACTTTCTCGGTTTTATGTGGTGTAGATAAGTAGCTCTCTTGGGTCACGTTACTTGGTGTTTGTGTGATTCGATCATATCTCAATGGGAGAGGATGAATCCAACGATGTATCTTTATCTCCTTACTTTGCGCTATGAATTATATTGTTTGGTTGATCGTAATTGTAACATCCTATCCCGGGTTCCTAAGAGGCAGGGAACCGGAAATGTTAGATCAACCATCGAATCGCGTCCGATAGGATGTCCGATTTGGTGAGCACACATGATCACCAAAAAAACGTCCATGTAACAATCAACAACATAGATTTAGGCTGATCTCTCTACTAAACCTGAAAGACAAAGGAAGAGGAGGGGTGAGTAATTGGGATTACTCAGTGAGGATGGGCCTTGAGGAGGCCCACAACATCATCAAACTAGCATAAATTGGTTTTAAGAGATCTAATCCTAAAGCAAGTCCACACAACATATATATATATATATTTACTTATATATAGACAGTTCATTCCTAGCAATCAATCACAAAGCATTTAAGGGTAGCCGTACAAGCAACTACACAAGCAGCGGGTCCCTGGCCTTTGCCAGTAACAGTAGGCTGCCACATGGGCCCCCATGCCTCACCCGGAAAGGCAAACCAGAATAATCTCATCCAATGGCTGGCCTATTACGATACCCATTAGTCAGGTCTACTATGCCAGTCACACAGACTGGTCCACAGCAATCACCAGGACAGGCTATGACACTAACGGTCACTGAGACGGCTGTTCATAGCGGTCTCCCCAGAAAGTTGTACCCAGCGGTCCCCTTGGACGGCTGTTCAATAACCAGTGGATCGCTAATCCACTCCAGCGATGGCCCCAGCCGTGTGTTCACGACAGCGATAGCCAACAAACAACACTGACTCCCACCTCTAGGAGCCAGGGGTCCTAACAGAGATCTACTATGCACAAATCATCCATTTCATATAACCATTCTTTTCTTAAAAGTCCTTCCATTATTAAAATGCACTTTCGGTGATACCAATTGTAACAAAAAGAAACATTAATCAGGTTAACATCACACAATCAATATTTTAAAGTCCAAATAAGTTTCGATCCATGTTTAGGTTAATTATCTCATTCCACCAGCAACCAGCAATCATCAACAAACAGACAACATGGATCCAGGTCCTAAACAATTCTAACAGCCCTAACTAGCAGATCTAAGCCTGATCTAAGAAAAGACCATTTAAAAGTCAACCATGCATATGTAAGAGAGGATGAAGCCATAGAGTCCTCACCTTGGCTTAGAAGGCTGAGAAACTGGAGGAGGAGGCAGAGGAGAAGGAGATCTAAGAGGAGATCCATCAGAATCAGATCCCATCTCACCCAAAGGAGAAGGAGGCGGCGCAGACATCTCGGCTGGGCAAGGAAGCTTCGGCGAAGAGAGATGCTTGGAGGATGGTGGTGGCCGCGGCAAGGAGAGAGAGAGACACGGCCAAGAGAGAGAAGGAAGAAGAAGAAAACGCAGGGAGAGAGAGGAAGAGAGCAGCTCGGCGCAGAGAAGAGAGAAGGAGAGAAGAAAAAAGTGGCTAGGTTGTTTAGGAGCTTAATGAGGGTTTTAAGGATTTAATTAGGTATTTATATGGAGGTTTAATAAGTGGGTTGGGCTTAATGGGCTCTTAGAAAGAAATTAGGAAATGTCCAAATAAAAATAAATAAAAGAAAAGAAAATAGAGATGGTTTAATTTAATAAAAACCGGAATTAGGAACTGGTAACATCCGATATTTGGTTAACCAAAAGTCGGGATGTTACAATTTTCCCCCCTTAGACAGGATTCGGGGATGAATCCTAAGAGAGAAGTTCCTGAAATGAAATTCGAAGACTAAAGACCAAGGGAAATGAAGGCACAAAAGACAAGAGGAGCTTGGTCGCAGAAATGAGGGATTCAGAAATGAACTCAGGGAATGGAAGCAGGAAACGAAATGGATCCAGGAGGAGAATTGGAAATGAAATCAGATGGGGAAAGCAGGAATAGAAATTTGGAAGGAGATTAGGAATAGAACCATAAGAAATTATGGCACCAGAAAAGATAGAGGCTGAGAGGAAAAAGGACATAATGAGGCCAGAAATGAAGCATGAAGAAAATTAGAAATGAGATCAGAAAGAAAAACAAAAATAAGGTCAGAGGACTCAGAAATGAGTTAAGAAAGGAATTGGAAATGGGATTAGGAGGAAAGGCAAAAAGGAAGTCAGAAGTGGAAAGGCAGGAATGGAGTCAGAAAGGGCTCACAAATGAAATCAGAAAAGGAATTAGAAGTGAACCATGACAGCAGAAGAGATTCTAGCTAAGAAGGAAGGAACAGGAAAGGAACCATAGGACACATGGTGCCAAGAAGGAGTTGCAGGCTAAGTGTTTAGAACGCAGAGTGATCAACAAAATCGTGTAGGAGGGAGAGTTTAAGGTATGATGCAATTTAAACACTTTAGAAATAAATCAAACCCCTTTTCTTATTAATTTAAAAATAAGGAGTAGAACTTATAGTTTTAAAATATAAGATGCTTGGAAACACCAACAAAGAATTTTAGCTAAGTCCTAATAACTAGATCCTAAAACAAGCAATCAATCAATAGAATAGAATAAATAAAGAATAAGTAGTTCTACTCCTGAAAACAATTTTTCCTAATCACTATCGGCATCTTCAGGAAGATCATCTTCAGAGGGGTCTTCATCTTCATCTATTTCGCTGTCAGAGGAGATGTAGACAGGGCCTCCAGTCTGAAAGGATCTCTCTACCCACAAGGCTCTCTTGTAGACTTCCCTTACACGACTTCCTATGCCTCTGCCCATCTCCCTGATCATTGCCTTGAAGTTGGAATGCAGACCTTGGAAGAAGAAGTTGGCAAACTCCTGAGCTGAGTAGGCCTGAGGTGCATACTCCATTGCATTAACAAAATCTTGATGGTACTCCAGAAGCGTCCTGTCTGCATGAATGGCAAACCCTCTCCAAGCACCAAGTGGATTCACTGGAGGAGCACCTGGTGCCGCTGAAGTCTTCGGGCATTGGCAGCATCGCCCATGCTCTACCATTTGCTGAGCAGCTGGCTTGGTCTCAGAAGGAGGCGCAGGAACAGAACTAGGCTGCTGCATAGGAGAAGCTGAAGGAGCTCGCCTAGCCTGGCTCTGTCCACTTGTAGATGCCTCATGCACCTCATTACATCTCCAAGGAGTGTACTGAAAGGTCACTCGGGTAGCAGCAATTGTCCTCTTCCTGGCTGTCTCCTTGGTCCTAAACCCAAATCTAGAAGAGGAAGGAAAAAGGAAAAAGGAAAAAGAGAATCTATTAGATCAACGTCTTTAAGTTGTTGGTTGTTCTAGGTTTGAAAACATTTTAAAAATATTTTAATAAAAAATGTTTTCGCAAACGATTTTCTCTTTGAAAACAAAAACGGGCGCGACCACTTTATAACGGAGCTAAACTGATCTAATTCTGGGCTCTGATACCAATTGTAACATCCCTATCCCGGGCTCCTAAGAGGCGGGGAACCGGGAATGTTAGATCGGCCATCGAACCGCGTCCGGTAGGATGTCCGATTTGGTGAGCACACAAGATCGCCAGGAAAAGGCCCAAGTAACAATCAACAACATAGACTTAGGCTGATCTCTCTACTAAACCTGAAAGACAAGGGAAGAGGAGGGGTGAGTAATTGGGATTACTCAGTGAGGATGGGCCTTGAGGAGGCCCACAACATCATCAAACTAGCATAAATTGGTTTTAAGAGATCTAATCCTAAAGCAAGCCCACACAACATATATATATTTACTTATATATAGACAGTTCATTCCTAGCAATCAATCACAAAGCATTCAAGGGTAGCCCTACAAGCAACTACACAAGCAGCGGGTCCCTGGCCTTTGCCAGTAACAGTAGGCTGCCACATGGGCCCCCATGCCTGACCCGGAAAGGCAAACCAGAATAATCCCATCCAATGGCTGGCCTATTACCATATCCATTAGTCAGGTCTACTATGCCAGTCACACAGACTGGTCCACAGCAATCACCAGGACAGGCTATGACACTAACGGTCACTCAGACGGCTGTTTATAGCGGTCCCCCCAGAAAGTTGTACCCAGCGGTCCCCTTGGACGGCTGTTCAATAACCAGTGGATCGCTAATCCACTCCAGCGATGGCCCCAGCCATGCGTTCACGGCAGCGATAGCCAACAAACAACACTGACTCCCACCTTTATGAGCCAGGGGTCCTAACAGAGATCTACTATGCACAAATCATCCATTTCATATAAACATTTTTTTCTTAAAAGTCCTTCCATTATTAAAATGCACTTTCGGTGATACCAATAGTAACAAAAAGAAACATTAATCAGGTTAACATCTCACAATCAATATTTTAAAGTCCAAATAAATTTAGATCCATGTTCAGGTTAATTATCTCATTCCACCAACAACCAGCAATCATCAACAAACATGCAACATGGATCCAGGTCCTAAACAATTCTAACAGCCCTAACTAGCAGATCTAAGCCTGATCTAAGAAAAGACCACTTAAAAGTCAACCATGCATATGTAAGAGAGGATGAAGCCACAGAGTCCTCACCTTGGCTTAGAAGGCTGAGAAACTGGAGGAGGAGGCAGAGGAGAAGGAGATCTAAGAGGAGATCCATCAGAATCAGATCCCATCTCATCCAAAGGAGAAGGAGGCGGCGCAGACATCTCGGCTGGGCAAGGAAGCTTCGGCGAAGAGAGATGCTTGGAGGATGGTGGTGGCCGCGGCAAGGAGAGAGAGAGACACGGCCAAGAGAGAGAAGGAAGAAGAAGAAAACGCAGGGAGAGAGAGGAAGAGAGCAGCTCGGCGCAGAGAAGAGAGAAGGAGAGGAAAAAAAGGTGGCTAGAGTTGTTTAGGAGCTTAATGAGGGTTTTAAGGATTTAATTAGGTATTTATATAGAGGTTTAAGGAAAATTCTTGGATTCACCCCTAGGGGTGAATTCATTCATTCACCTTCTTTCATTTAAGCCAATGAGAATCTGCCATGTAATATTATCTTTAAAGAAAAATAAAAAATTAAAATTAAAAAATTAAATACTCAATCAAATATTTTGTTAAATATATATATAAATAATATATATAAAGATTTGAATTTACGATTTAGTTTTTATTTTAATTTTTTAAGGTTTATAGATTATGATTTAGAGTATAAAAATTAGAATTTTGGATTTAAAAATTAAAATTCAGAGATCAGGGCTTAAATTCTGAAAATAAAACAAATAAATATATATATATATATTAAAAATAAAATATAATATTATGTTTGGATTCACTATTTCTAATTTAGGTTTTAGTTTTTCTTTATTTAAAATTCTAAAAATAAAACAAATAATTATGTAAAAATATTTTTTATTAAAAATAATTTTACATAAACTATGTTTGGGTTCACTATTTCCAAATTAGGATTTAGTTTTTTCCATTGAAAAAATAATTTAATATTATGTTTGGGTTCAATATTTCATTTTTAGGGCTTAGTTTTTTTTATTTAAATTTTGAAAATAAAACATATAATTATGTAAAAATATATTTTTATTAAAAATAATTCATCATAAACTTTAATATTATGTTTGGGTTCACTATTTCCAAATTAAGCTTTAGTTTTTTCCTATTTAAAAAAAAATTTAAAATGTACTATTTTGGTAAGTTACTTTAATTGATTTTATTATATGGCAGATTCTTATTGGCTAAATTAAGAGGGGGTGAATGAATGAATTCACCCATAGGGGTGAATCCAAAAATTGTCCGAGGTTTAATAGGTGGGTTGGGCTTAATGGGCTCTTAGAAAGAAATTAGGAAATGCCCAAATAAAAATAAATAAAAGAAAAGGAAATAGAGATGGTTTAATTTAATAAAAACCGAAATTATGAACTTGTAACATCCGATATTTGGTTAACCAAAAGTCGGGATGTTACAGTAATTGTGTAAATTGCCCATTTTTCCTAGGATTTTGGAGAGAACTAACACTTAATTAAAAAGTATATATAATGTCCAATGTTTTTAAAATCGGACCGTAACTGAATCAGAAAATTTTTTCGGTCATGGATTAACATGGTTAGACCGAGTTTAAGCAGGTTTGATAATATTTTTCGAATAGTTGTATATGTATACTTACTATTTTTATTTAATATTTAATTAATTATAGATTGTATAATATTTTTGGGGTCATGGATTAATATGGATTTATATGGTTAGACCAAGTTTAAGCGGGTTTGATAATATTTTTCAAAGAAATTGGGTAGAGTGGAATAACCCATGAGATCAAAGATGGTTCGAGAAATACCAGAGCAAAGGTCCGGTTAAAGATGATTTCTGCATATGTAATGGTATTTTCTAAAGAATGGGTTGAAACTTCAATGCTCAATTTGTGCAGAGTAACCCACAAACTTGAAACCACTTAAACAAAAAGTTACAGCGTTCAAAATTCAATTGATAAAAATTGCTTGAAGCCAAAGATCTTACTCTTGGGATTGGATCTCCAAGAAATTGTTCATGTTTGTTGCATAGACATATGCATTGGCTCTTTGCACTTTGGTTCCTTTTCTCTGCGCATCTTAATTGAATATTACTACAACATTAAGACTCCTTCTGACTTGTTTGTTTCGTCGGTTTCTGTGGATTTGTTGTCGGGAATAATAGTGTTCTCATTTGTCCCTCTGCGTCGTCTTCTGATGTTGCCTGCAAGATTTTTGATTGGCATGAAATGTTCTTATAACATCCATTATTCTCTGTTTGTACGGTTTGTTAAATTTCTTAGAGTTTAAGAGATCAAAGTAGAGAACTGATTTACCCTTGTCAAGAATGCAAACCGCAATGACTCAATTTTTGCTCCTGCACAAAGCCTGAAGTCAAAACCAAGGGAATCTATCCCAATCAGCTTCACTTCCTGCAACAAACAAACAAAAATTTCGGTCATATTTTCATACACACACAGACACACTGCATCTGAATATTCACTTTGTATGGAAAGAATATTCAAAATTCAGGTATTTCAACGCATAACTAGAGCTTCTAAAGTTAAGTTGCAGCTATTTTACCTCTGCTTGAATACCGTAATGTCTCCAACACAAAGATTTAAGGGCTTCAGCTAGTTTATCACCAGATTCTTCTAAACGGCTTATGATTCCAGCTGATGCATGAGCGATAGCATCCGGTTGTGCTTTTCTGACATCTTCCACTTCAACGTCAGTCTGTGGCCAAGAGTAAATGACACTACTAAGCATAAGCTTGCAACAAAACGCAGAATCTAGATAAGAAGTGGAACTTGAAAACATGAACCATGAGATTTTCCAATTACAAAACAAAGCAAGGGCAAGAATGACACAAGGTTTCCAGATAAACAGATCATGGATAGATAGAGAAGGAAAAAAAAACTCGCAAGGACTTTTTTAAATATAAGAAAATGGTGAAGCTCTATTGCAAACCTGATCCCCTTGTGCTGTAATAAGCTGAATTCTTATCATCTCCAGCTTGTAAAACGCCACCACATTTCTCTTTTTCTCAGATTCGCCACCATCTTCTTTATTAATGTCTTCAATCTTTTCTTGTAAGTTTTCTGCATCCTTATTTCCGTTAGTAAATGTAGATTTTCTATCAGCAAGTTTCTTTTGGATATCCGAATAATCTTCGACTAAGATATGACTCAAAAGTCCCTGGATGGCAAGGCCAGCAGATGGCTGATCCATCCAATCTATAGGATCATTAGAAGCAACCTAAAATTGGCAAATACACGAAGTTTGTTATGAGTTGCATATCACATTTATTTAGAATCACAACACATTTTCTCAGAACTTGTGTTTCAAGTTAACCTCAGTCATTCTCTTTGCAAAAAACATGGGATGACAACTCCTCATCGTTTCCAAATTTGCCCAGTCACCAAGCGATTCATCGTCATCCTCGTCATCATCATCATCATCGTCATCCTCATCATCATCTTCGTCTTCATCTTCATCCTCGAGAACAGCAACCCATCCCTGAGGTCAAAGTGAAGCATACTAAGGCATGGCAACGTATTCTCTCATAGAGTTTCTTAGTGACTTGATAAGAAAAGTGGCATAAAATTTATTAAACCTCCTCATCGTCGTCTTCTCCTTCATCTCCATCCTCCTCACTGTCCTCTTCTCCTTCACTTTCATCGTCTTCAGTTTCATAGTCACTATCAGATAGACCCATCATCTCCATTTCCTTGATCATCTCCATCGTATCAAAACCTACTATTACTTGCTGCAATGCAACCATAAATTCTTAAAGGTGAATAGAGAAATATGGTACAGCAAAAAAAAACCATCGAGCAGCATAGTCAGTTATAATCAATCAACAGAAACATATCGAAGCTAGAAGCCTAGATGACTGCTTTTTGATGCATGCTTGTGCGCTTAGATTTAGAACTAAAAAATAAAAGAAATGTAACAAGTATCTGCAATAGGCTATAGCTACTGTAACAGAAAAAGACGAGATCTCTCCTCCGAGAAAGCTAGGATATTCACCATTTCATTAAAAGTTTCTAAGATGCATGTCATGTAAATAGGATATGCATGTCGTGTGAAACATACCACATAATTATTTTCAGATGTAACAGACTGCATGATGTCCTCATCCTCCTTTACTTGAAAGTATAAATCTGCAGATCATTAGGTTTATTCAATTTAGTTTTTGATGGTAATAGGTAGATTATATATTCACAGGGAAACTAAAGATGATTCAATTTTCTCTTACTTCCATTCTGATCTGTTATATAAGGTATATCAGGCCAGAGAATATTCTCATGAACTCCATCACCAATTGAACCAGTAAGCATCAGGGTTCCTTTATTGTTCACCTGAACATGACACACTACGGGAAATGTTAGATGTACAAAATGAAACCTGGATATAACATAAAAAGACAGTAAAAAATGGAGGAACATATTCCCCTGAATACAATATCTGCGATGCAGACTTACATAGGCTTTGTCAAGATAAAATGCTTTTCTCTATATTAAAGAATTTTTTAGAGGAATATGGAATATTGAAGCAACCCAGGATATTGAACCACTATACGCATTAACATGTGGCTACAACAATGCATATAAAATAAGGCATTGGTCCAAACAATATTTTACCAAAAAGGTAGCTTATGCAGATTGAAAGACGCAATATAACACCTCAATGATGGTTCTCGTAGTTTCTGCAGGTGAAAGTCTTGAATCTCCAGCATTCTGTGGCAAAGTGGCTCTAATTTCTTCTGAAGGATGATACCTTGACTTCCCAGTTTGCTTTTCTGAATCTGAAGCTGAATCTAAATACTCGGCCGTGGCTTGAGTTCGATTTCGCCTCGGGTACTTTCTTGTTAAATAGTCACTACTGTACTTCAGAAATCCACTCCTAGATAAGTGCATATAGTCAATTCATTTGTTTACAACAGAAGGTAATATGAATGTACATACATATACGTAGAAAACAACATCCAAAAGTTTTGAAATGTTGAGGCATCTCTGCATTTTACTACAGGTGAAAGTATCTCACACATGAAGGATGATACGCACTTTCATGTATACTCAGAAACTCAACCGACAAGAAAAAATCAGTTCATGTCATAGTTTATACGAACAGTAAGCTAACGCCTTAACATCAGCGAACAACTCAGGACTAAATTCATCGTGTTTTCAAGTCAGTATTGGCAACACCAGAACAAAATTTCAAAAGAAGTTAACTTCAACTGGTTCCAAGGATCAACGAAGTACATAACTTAGTGCTCTATACAATCAAGAAACACCCACTTCGCTCTAAATTTACCAATCACATTGACAAGAAATAGTATTGCATAGAAGTGTAGGACTCCAAGTACTACTGCACTAAAGATAAGCTATTCAAAAACTAGAATCTAACATCTTGATAAAGCCAAAACTCTCACAATAAGGAAGCTCTTGATTCAAGTTTGAAGACGAAGAAAAACCCAACAAACTTCCTTTCTTTTGGCACAAACGTAGAATCTATTTTGCAATTTAGTGCTCTACTAAATCAAGAAACATCGGCTTTGCACTAATTTCAACATTCACGTTGACAAGAAACATATCGCAGTAGTACCAAGTACTTAGTTATACACAAAAGATAAGCTATCCAAAAGCTAGATTCTAACATCTTGATAAAACCAAAAGTCACCCAACAAGAAAGCAGTTACTCTAAATTAAAAAAAAAAGTAACCAAACCAAATACTTGGTAGGCAAAAACTATAAAACCTTATCAACAAGTCGATAATGAAACAAGGTGAATCCAAAGTACCGAGCAGTATTGTTGAGACGTTGAGGCTGAAAAACGCGACGGGACGCATAATGGAAGCAGCTCACTCCCTCGTCCGTGCTCGATGAAGGACGATACTCTGCAATTCACAAGGGAGCATTTCAGGTATTAAAAAGAAAAAATTGAAAGAACAGAAATTTAGCTACCAAATCATTAGAACTAAATGTTGAATTGAGAAGAAGAAAAAAAATCATGAACAGAGAGAGCAATAGCAATTACGGAGTAACGCCGTTGAAGAGAATCCGGTGGAGAGACGGACGGCCATGACCGACTCAATCATCTCTATCTCTAGCCTGCGCTCTCTCACTTTCTCTCTGAGCTCAGAAAGCTGGAGAGTGATTTGCAGATTGGGCTATCTCTTTGGGGAGTTTCCTTACAGAGTGATGACGTGTCTTATTTTTCATTGGTTGTAACCCAATAAGATATTATAAAGCAGTCCAAAAATGTGTTCTTCCGTTATCATTAAAACGCTGCGTTTTGCTTTGTAATGTTTTTTAACAATTCATTTCACCAATAGTCACCACAAGAGCAAACACCAAATCGGAACACATGAAACCTATTGGTGTCTCTGATGATGATATCGCGAGAAGTTATCTGTGAGATAAGCTTTGCTGCAACATGACAATCTCCACAAATCCTAAGGTTCTTTGTTATTCTTATGGCATTATTGTCTTCTTCTCCTTCCCTTGTGTTCATCAATGCAAACACAATGGCTAATTTCTCACTGTGAACAGCTAAATGCGTCTCCTTATCTTCTTCTTCCACATCGTGAAGCGCAGATTCTGAATCAGGAACATACCCTAACTCTTTCATTTTCGTTACTAGAACATCCAGCTCTCTGTAAATCTCATCGGACTGCGGGTGACCTGTCGCCTACTAAGAATGTATAAATTTCTCCATTGACCTCAACGTTGCTCGCTCCAGGATTCTTCTTTAATCCTTTACTCTTCATGAGATATCTGATGTTTGTAACCTCTTCCCATTTCCCAGCCTTTGCGTATATATTAGAAAGCAATACGTAATAACCTGATTGCTCAGGTGCTAACTGAAAAAGCTTATCAGCTGCTAGTAAACCAATGTCTGTATCGGAGTGCACCCTGCAAGCACCTAACAATGCTCCCCAAACTCTCTCGTTCGGTTCCATTGACATTTCTTGTATAAATCTGTAAGCTTCTTTCACTTCTCCGGCACGGCCAAGAAGATCCACCATACAAGCAAGATGCTCTAACCTAGGAGTAATCTTGAAATGATCTGTCATGAGTTTAAAATAACTCCGTCCTTCTTCTAGCAGCCCCGCGTGGCTACAGGCAGCAAGTACTGTGACAAACGCAATTGAATCAGGGACGAGACCCGAGTCTTGCATTTTAGAAAACAATGCCACGGCGTCACGCCCTTTTCCGCTGACTCCATAAGCTGAGATCATAGCTGTCCAAGAAACAACGTCACGGGACTTCATGTTCTCAAACACATCTCTCGCTCTATCTAGACATCCACATTTTGCGTACATATCAATTAATGCGTTCTCTAACAACAGATTCGGTATCAGCTTCTTCCTCTCGATGTATCCATGAATTTTCTTACCAAGAGACAGAGCAGATGTATCTCCACAAGCAGGTAAAACACTTGTGATTGAGACTGCATCAGGTTCGATCCCATCAGCTTCCATACAAGAATACAATTCCACGGCTTCACGAGGCATTGCATTTTTCATATACACACCGATCATCACATTCCATGAAACCAAACTCTCTTTCCCCATTTTCAAAAACATATCTTTAACATACATAACATTACTCCTTGTTGTGTTGGTCACTGCTGGTAACAGACTAGCCATCGTGCCAGGGTCGTGGCTTATCTTCACGGATTCCATTTCCCTACAAACCTCCAAAGCATCGTCGAATCTCTGGTTTTGCGCATACCCAGCAACTAACGAGTTCCAAGAGACCACATCTCTCCTTGACATCTCATCAAGTACAAGCCTTGCTTCAGATAAAAAACCACACTTTCCATACATAGAAACTAAACCATTCCCAACAAACAGAGTCGAAGAGAGCCCAACTCTTGTAGCGGACCCATGGATTTTCTTCCCAACGACAATATTCCCAGAGCAAGAACACGCCTTTAGAACACACGGGAAAGTGTAATGATCGGGTCTAACATTACAGCCACACATCGTCCCAAAAACTTGAATACCTTCACGGTAAAACCCGTTGTTCACATAGCTTCTGATCATGACATTGATGATGATCACGTTTCTCTCAGGAATTTCGTCAAACACCTTGCGTGCTAAAGCCACATCTTTTAGAGCAGCATAAGCTCTCATAAGTTTAACGCCCAGAGACGAATCGCAGCGTAGATCTTCAAGAATGATTCTTGAGTGGACTATTCGTAGGGTTTTGAGATCTGGGTAAGTGTCCAGTACCTGACCCAGCAAGTTGTCATGAAAATACGATGTCCCATGTGGTCTTTTTGGTTCGAGTTCAGGTTTAGGTGCAGAAGAAGCTAAGTTCCGGGTTTGAAATTTTCTGAATTTCGGGAAATGGCGGAGACGAAGACCGACATTGATGCGTTTCATGAGCTTTGAAATCGAGCTTCCCTCCTCATCATCTAAACAGCAATGGTGTGACGAAGTGTGGGTAAACCGGAATTAAAGATTTAACCGTCGAAAATCTAATTAAACCGATCAGACCGGCCAAACATGGGTTTTCATGTAAAATGAGCCCGGCCTTCTAAACGGGAACAAAGCTTCATCTTTTCGAACACAGAGAGCATCACTTGCTTGTGAAATTTAAAAATTCAAGCTTTTTCATATTTGGTCGTCAGTTTCGTTTTAACAATTTTAAATATTTTTGCAAATTTTTTTCGTCTTCTTCAGATGGTACGGATTCAGTCATGGAAATTGTACATTCTGATATACCAACCCAGAAAGTATGTGCATGAATCTCCCTATAATCGAGGCCCATTCTTAACCGCTTAATAAGAAAAATAGTTTATCTTTCGCACTGTTTACTGTTTAAAACGTGATCATTAATCGGATTCGTTGTAGAAACCAGAGAGAAGAAGCTAAATCCTTCGATGTAACGCTTTCTGTTAATCAGTGAATGGTTCATACTTCATATCCTCAGCATACATTTTTAGATTTCCACTAAAGCTCTTTCTAGAGACATTCCAATGCAGGACAACATACCGGCGGGCTATGTGAACCGGGCTAAATCCTGGTTTGAAACCGCCACAGCTCCACAAGACCCAATATTGAACCAGGACTTAACCGGACGACCCAGTTCATGGACTGGCCAGGCAAATTACAAGTTCTCTTTCTAGTGAGAAGCAGAGCAATGTAGGATTTCAGAGTCCGGTTTCTTATAGATAAGCTTGGTGTGAAGGATAGTATCCAACATCGAAACAGCTTCAACGATGTGCTTGCCTTTGTTCAACATCACACAGCTTGCCCTGCAAATATACAAAATCCAAAATTAGACAAAGCAACTGTTAAGTTTTGTTTTGTTTGGAGCAAAAAGATTTGACCTTTTGCCATTTGCAGCATCTGTGATCTCAGCTCGAGTAGGAACACCGGATTTGACAAGTGATTCCAGAACCTGAGTTGCCATGATTACCGGTACACGAGCAACTTTACAAATACCTAAAACCTCTTCTTGAATATTAGCCAATCTCTCCCATCCACACTCCACTGCAAGATCACCTCGAGCTATCATAACTCCCAGAGGATTCGAACACTTCATTGCCTCTAATAGAATCAAGGGTAGATTCTCAAACCCACTTTCCGTTTCAATCTTGAGAACAATACCTAGCTCATTAAGTTTCCTTTTCTTGAGCTCTTGCTTAAGAACGGATATATCATGGACATCACGTATGAAAGAAATGCCAACCATGTCAGCACGTGAAGCTACAAATTCAAGATCTTTGATATCTTTTGATGTGAGGCCTTTGAAACGGATATCACTTTGGGGAATGTTAATGGACTTCTCTGATCCTAGCTTAGTACCCTTTGGACCAGCATGAGTGATGGAGACAATTACCTCTGAAGGGCTAGCTCCTTTGATTACTCCCCATATTTTGCCATCATCGAAACTAATGGTTTCACCAGGCTTGACAGAATCGAACAAATAACCGCAAGGACAAGTTACCTTATGAGCTCCTGGAACAGTTACACAAGGTTCATCGAACGATCCTTCTCGGGTTAAGACAAGTAAGTCTCCCACTTTGAGCCTTACAAAAGATTCCTTGGGAGGAACATCCACTACTCGTCCAACCAAGCGTCTCCCTTTTTTTCCCTTAACGTATAACATAGTTCCAGACTCAATATAAGCAGTGTCAAAACATTCAGCTACAAACCCGGAACTGGAAAAAACATCAAACTCTTTTGTGATTCTAAGCATCTTCTTTTTCCCTCTAGCGTCACATAGTCTTAAAGAATCACCCATCTGGAGACCAGAGAGAAAATCCTCGTCTTGCACGAATATAGTAGCATCAGGCGAAAGGTGAGCAGGAGGAGGTTGTGTTCCTGTGAGGGAGAGCCACACCAGAGCAGGAGAAACTGCATTTCCATAAGCATCTTTCTTTGGTGAAACTTTTATCACGCAAGGACCAGGTTTTAAGGTACCAGTTCTCAGTTTTGGTCCAGCTAAATCCATAAGAACGCGGCATGGCATCTCTAGCATCTGAGAGGTTCTTCTTACTCTTTTGATGATCTCACCCCAAACGCTCGGGTCTCCATGTGCGCAGTTTATACGGATAACAGAAGCTCCAGCTTTAAGAACATCGGTTATAAATGTTTCACTCTCAGTTGCTTCTTTACCAACAGTTACCATGATATGAGTACTTCTTCCCTCACGAAGTTTTCCAAGTAACAACTCTTTATATGAAAATACTCTTCCTTTATCATTCTTCTTGCTACTCTTACCCTTCAGCTGCTTAGGATAGGCATTATTCCGAGATTCGATCACATCACTCTGTTTGCTATAGGGAGAGTTCATCAACAGATTAATAGTGGAGTTAAGGCTGGCGAGGACAGTCACATTGTTGTTGTCTAAACTTGACAGACCAAGAGAAGCAAGATCGCTGTTGAGCTGCTCAATGTCCAATGACCTCAAAGCCATATAATGGATTAAGTTTGTCGCACATTCCAGATATTTTCTGCAACAGGCAGTATTACAAATTAGGCGATAGCAAAAGCCGACAAAAACAAGTAATGCAGAGGGATATATGGCTTGACAATTATACAAGATTTGATATTTATCTATGCTGAAACGAGCATAAGAAAATTTAGGGAGAAAATGGTTAGAATGGTAAAATGTCAACGGACCTGTCACATGACTCAAGTCGAGAAGCATTCCACTTCTCTGCTGCTAATAGATGAGACCGAAGAGCGTTCAGTTTTTCGACAACACTAGCCACATTTTGGTCTCCAAAGCTTCCTCCAGAGTGGTATATTTCTAACTCGAGACGAGAAAAATCAGCTTTAGAGTCTGGAAAGTCACTACTTTCTGTAGAGGTATTACCACCAAAGATAGCCTCCAATTCAGCTCTGCCTTTCCCGTTCGCTGAGGCTCGTAATGTTCTCGGAACACGGATTTTCATCTGATTAAGTGATGATAATGGAAAAGTCTTTTTAGGCTGGATGTTCATGTGATGCCTTCCGGGGAAGCAAAGAGTCTTGTCCCTTAACAAGTGGTTTGATTCAGTGGCTACCATATCGACTAATTGGAACACCTGAGAAACGAAACATAAAGAGAGAAAACACACAATAGCAAACAGATATTAGCTCAAGAGAAGGTAATGTGTCTCAACAGTATACAGTAATGAGCTTGACCGGTTGTTACAATGAGAGACATGTACTCACATTCTTATGTGTTGTCGATAGATTTGTGACTGAAGTAGCAGAACTCATGTACAATGTCATCTGCCCAGTGATAGCAAAGCTGATCAGGAGGAGAAGAAACAAAAAAAGCTACAAAGCAGAAGAAGAGAAGACTAAGAGAGAAATCGAATTTAGACAAATATACTCTTACAAACCAACAAGACTCAAAAAACGATACAACTTGAAATATGAAACAGGGAATTTTCCTTTTCTCAGATATTATTAAATCACTTTGAACGACACTAGGCATAATAAAATAACCCACAAACGCAGTAAACGAAAATTGAAAACACAAATAAAAAAAAATTCTAAGTTCGTGAAATGCAAAATCAAGCTTCCTACGTGAATATTGAAATCCAGGAAAAAAAAATCATGTGATGTGCCATAATCATACGACATTAAGAAATCTGAGAGTATTTCTCCAAGGAAATATCAACCTTAATCCACTGGCACGGTTTTACGATTGTAGCCGAGAATTTTATTTCGGATGCTATTCTCGAGGGAAAAAAAAAAACAGGAGATGAGCATGAGAAGTACCTTTGTAATGGAGAATCGGTCGATTCAGATAAACTCTTCGCACCTTATGTAGAAGATACTAATAAGAAGAAGAAGAAGAAGACAACTCAGATTTCTCAACTCAGAAAACGAAGAAGAAGAATGGCGAATTTTCCAGGAGAAACAAAAAAAGTGTGGTTAAGGATAAAAGGAGAGTGTGGCGAGCGCGTGCCAGATTCTTACAAGACCCCACCTCTCGCTGAATCTAGGCTGAAATCAAAATGTCCATTCACCACGACGCCGTTTTGTAACAATCTAGATTTAAGAAAATAGAACCAATCGGTTTAACCAAACCGATTCCGGAAAACAAAAAAGGAATGATGGTATAGAAACAACATTGGCTTATTACATTATTTTTATTTTCTTAAGTCTGGCAAATTGGCTATATAAACGCAATTACCTTTTAAAATGTGAAAATTTGATGAACTATAAACAGTAAAAAAAATGGGAATCATATCCTCAAAAATGAAATTATGAAATAGTTGATTTACAATTCATCACCATTACTTTATAAGTACTTCTACTTCAACAAGCAATTTACAATTCTTTTCTTGAATGACCTCAAAAACAAAATTATTTACAAACATAACACAACTCATTTAAATCTCTTATTAGTTACGCGATTAAACGAAACCTATAAAAAACGATACAAACACAATTTTTTCTAAGCATAACATTTGTTCAACACAACACTCTCAATAGGAATCTTATCCACCGGAAAAGCACAGTCCATCTTCGTTCCCTTATCCGGCAACAAACTACACGGCTCCGGCTTAACCCTGCTCGTAACTCCGGCAACATCTGTACAGTTCCACTGCAGCTTCTTCGTGGTCGGAGACAAAGCTATACTCACATTCGACATACAAATCCCCGTAAACGGATCGTTCTTGATCCCTTCGAGCCTCGCCGACATCGTAACGTTCTCTGCCGTCATGTCACGGTAGTTGATATTTCTTATCTCCGGCAACGCCTTGGGATCGAATCCTATAGGATGCAGTTTATACGAACCGGTTATCCAGAAAACGTATTTCATAGTCTTCATCGTAAACCTACGAGCGAAAATGTCTTTGACGTAACCGCCACGACCAATCGCGGTTTTGACTCTGATCGCGGATTGTGTGTTGATTAGTGTCACGTCTTCGATTCTAACGTCTTTGATTCCTCCCGACATTTCGCTTCCGATGGCTATCCCTGCGCTGTCGGGAGAAACGCAAGTGAGACGTCGTATCGAGAGCTGTTGCGTTGGGATCGCTGTCGCGATTCCGAATTGGTCGATACCGCTTTTTACCGCGATGCAATCGTCCCCGGACGTTACGGAGCAGTCCTCTATTATTGTGTTGGTGCAAGAATCTATACGTATAGAACCAAATCAAGAACATGAGTGCTTAATAAAACAAATCAAGAACATGAGAGTTGAATTAAACCAAAATCAAGAACATGAGTCTTATATTAATGTGTTCGTGCAAGAATCTATACGTAGAATCAAAATAAAAAACATGCGTATTTAACAAACCAAATCAAGAACATGAGTCCTCTATTAATTAATGTGTTCATGCAAGAATCTATACGTAGAACCAAATCAAGGACATGAGTTCTCTTTTAATGTGTTCGTGCAAGAATCTATATGTACGTAAAACCAAATCAAGAATATGAGTTTGATAAACCAAATGAAAAACAAAAAAGGGAAAAAGCTATTTTCTTAACTAGAACGTAACGTTTTTCGTAAGATAATTATACAGAAACGTTATATCCTATAGGAATTAATGTGATCATAATGTATGCATACCAGGGTTGATTCCATCGGTGTTAGGAGAATCGATAGGAGCATCGATCTTGATATTTCTAACGATGACGTTTTTGCAATACACAGGATGTACATTCCACATTGGAGAATCGATTAAATTGATATCCGAGATCTGAATGTTTTCTGAGAAGATTATTTCGATCAACAAAGGTCTCGATATTGACTTGAAACCACCACCTCGATACTTTACCCACCATGACTTGCCTTGTCCATTGATCGTCCCTTTGTTACCTAATAAATTTAACAAAATTGATCTTATAAACCAAAATATACATTTTTGTTTCTATCTCGTAATCTTGATCAATTGTGTGATGTATTAATGAATGAATCGTTGTTGTGCTTACCGGTGATAACAACATCTGTTAGGTTACTTCCATAGATTAAACTAGCAAACCTTGCATCTCCATATGACGGCAAAGGTGGCATCATAGGATATTCAAATTCGTCCTGTTTGATTTAACCAAATTAGTGACTATTATTCTTCCACCAATTATTTATACACAACATCGAATTCTTATTTATTTTTTTTCCTTTTGAAAACGTTCTTATATAATATAGGCTAATATATATAACACTAGCTAAAATTTTGAAGGTAGATATTACCTGAGAAGCAAGAATTGTTGCACCTTGTTGGATGAACAAAGTAAAATGGCTTGTGAGGTTGAAACTTCCGGTGAGCCATTTTCCCGGCGGAACAATGAGTTGTACTCCACCGTCAGCAGCCAACGGAGTAAGCTTGCTAATGGCTTCTCTAAACGCTTTCGTGTTCGAGGTTTTTCCATCACCAACAGCTCCAAAATCCGTCAAAACCGCATTGTGTTTCCGACAATTTATCGCCTGATATTCAATACCTTTCTTGCTCTCAATGCGGGATTCCATCATCGGAAAACCGAATATTGTTAATACCACTAGTATACACAAACTTATCTGAATCATCTTCATCTGTAAGAAAATGAATACATCAGATATATCATATCTCCCTTTATTTAGTTAGAAACGAGACAAATAAACGAATCACTATTTGATAGAGAAAAAAAAAAGAGAATCAATAATAATTACCTTAGAATTTGAGATTTCAACGAAAACCTCCATTTACCGGATCTGAACTTATAGAAAATGATAAGTCAATATCATTAGTGGAAAGGAAAACAAAAATCAAGAATAAAATGGTAAAATCTGATCTGCATAAACACTCAAATATCCTGAATTTATAGATTGTGATCGTGTACTGATTTACCAAATAAGCAAAAGTTATTGATTTCCCTAAAGATAACCTCTTTTCTTTTTCTTTTATTAAAACAGTTCAATTTTAGATAACCTCTTTTTCTTTTAATAGCAAGGATAAATCTATTCAACGGTCAGAGATTACAGATGTTGTGATTAGTCCACTACAACATCTAAAATTTGGATTTTATTGTTTTCAAGATAGACATAAAATTGCCTCATATGCTAATTCTCAAAGTCACCAATAGTCATTACATGAGCATCTCCCATCTTTAAAATGATGAAAACGATTCAAATCTCTCAATACAATCTCTCTACCAGAAACCGTCGTTATATATTTCATCGCGTTATGGCAATCCCCGCAGACCCTTAAGTTCTTGAACACCCTTATCGGTCTTGATTTCCCAGTGCTTATAAGCCCAAACGCAACCGCGACTTTCTCACTGTGCTGAAACAATAATCTTTCCTTCTCTGCCTCACCATCCTCTTCCTCTAGCTTGTGAAGAACAAGATCCGTATCAGGAACATATCCACAACGTCTTATCTCTCTAATCAACCGGTCCAATTCGTCGTATATTCTGTGAGCATTTGGGTGGGATGTATCACCTACATAGAACTTATGAACCTTATCACCCACTTCTATCCAGCTGCAACCTCCTTCTTTAACCAAGTTTCTCTCTTTCATCTTCTTCCTCATCTCTGCAGATTCTTCCCATTTCCCTACATCCAACTATTCAAATTAGTTTCACTTCACACACAAGTTTAATCATTAGAAGGAGGAGTTTTATTGGTTTGTGTTTGAATTATACTGATACCTGCACTAGCGTATATGTTTGAGAGTTGTATATAAGCTGCGGGCTCATTCGGGTCAAGTTCTAAGATCTTCCTCGCAGCCATCTCTCCAAGCTCTGTGTTACTGTGAATTCTGCAAGCTCCAAGAAACGTACGCCACACTAGAACATCAGCTTGGAAGGGCATTGTGCTAATGAACTCAAATGCGTCTGTGAGAAGCCCGGATCGACATAGAAGATCAACCATACAAGCATAATGCTCCATTCTAGGTTTGATCTTGTGGTCTTCATACATTGATTTGAAATGTCTCCATCCTTCGGAGACCAAACCAACATGGCTACATGCGGACAAGATTGCGACGTAAGTGACCTCGTTTGGCTTCATCCCTTCTTCTGTCATTTGGCTGAATGTTTCGAGTACCCTTTTAGCGAATCCATGTTTTGCGAAACCTGTGATCATTGAAGTCCATGAGATGACATTACGATCTTCCATTAGATTGAAGACTCGGGAAGCTGTGTCAATGCTTCCGCATCTGGAATACATAGAGATCAAAGCATTGGAGACGGGTTGATTGCACGAGAGCCCGAGTTTAAGCACCTGTGAATGGATTTGCTCGCCTTTTCTAATTGAACCAATACTTGCAACTCCACTTAACAAGCTAGCAAATGTGAAAGCGCTAACACCTAATCCTCTCTCAGTGATCTCATTGAAAAGCTCAAAAGCTTCCTCAAAATCCAAGTTCCTGCAGGTTCCATCAAGAAAGGTGTTATATGAGACCAAGTTCTTCTCAGAAAGTGATTCAAACGCTCTCCGAGCGTCTTCCATCCTGTCTGCTTTAACAAACATGCTGATAACCGAGTTTGCAACACAGTTATTCGAAGCAAGACCTCTTTTAAAGGCATGAGCAAGAACCTGTTTACCTCCCCGTGGATCCGAAAGATTTCCGCATGCCTTGAATGCGCTCGAGAAAGTGAAATGATTTGGCTGGACACGACCCTGCGTTATCATTTCGCAGAAGAGACTAATAGCCTCTGTATCGAGATTACAGTTCTGCATATAACCTGTGATCAATGCCGTCCACGACATAACACTATGATCCTGTATTCTATCAAACACCTTCCTGCAATCATCTAACGAATCATCCACAGAGCATTTCGCATACATGTCAACTAAACTACACCCAACATCATCTGCGAGTCCAGACCTAATGGCCCAAGAATGCAATTGCTTCCCTAAAGAAAGATTCTCCAACTCAGCACACGCAGAGAAAACAGAGCTTAGTGTGAACTTATCTGATTCAAATCCGCTTAAAACCATGTCCAAGAAAAACCTTATTGCTTCCCTAGGAAACCCCATTTGCATACACCTAGTTATCATCAATGTCCAAGTAACAACATTTAGCTCAGACATTTGATCGAACACTTTATACGCATTCTCTAGATTGTTCTCCCCTTTCACAAACATATCGATCAAAGAACAACCTACACAGACATCGGATTCAAAATGCCCAGTCTTCATCAAAAACCCTAAAATCACTCTCCCAATCGAAACATATTCCGAATTCGAGCAAGCTCGTATCACTGCCGTGTAACAATAATCATTTGGCACGAAACCCAACTCCAGAAACCGAACAAAAAGTTCAATCGCATTGAGTTCCTTTCCATTATTAGCGAAACAAACCATCATGGCACTCCACGAAACAACATCTCGCTTACCAAATCTCTCCATAGTCTCGAACACATCCTCGGCTCGCGCTAAATCTCCGGATTTTGAATACAAGCTGATGAGTGAATTGTATAGAACCGAGTCAGGCTCGATATTAAACTCAACTAATCGGGCGTGAACGAGTTTCCCGAGTCGAAAATCGCGTGCTCGGATACAAGACTTGAGGAGGGAGGAGAAAGTGACCGAGTCGGTGGGGCGGATCCCATCACGAGCCATGAGATCGAGAGCTGAGATCGCTCCCCGAAGATCGCCGGCATTGAGATGACGGAGGATCAGACGGTCGGCGACGTTGATCCGATTTGGAACGGACGGTCGAGATGAAATCGGAAGTATGGCGGGAGATGGAAGCGAAAAGCTTATCATCGCCATCGGTTTCCCATCTAACGATTCCGTTACCGTATCTCAATGAAATTTTAACTATCTGAAATTTACATTATAACCCCTTATGTTTTATAAAACTTGTATTACTCCGCAAAACTATATTTTATTCCAATTAAACACAATTTCATAAACCCTAATATCTTAAAACCCGAACACTCACGAATCTGTTTCTTCTTTCCTGTTTCTCTGAACAAAATCAGCTATAATGGAGATTTCTGTTATTGCTTCGTCCTCTATCGATGGCGGAATCGGAAGCTGGGATCTCAAAACCGGGAAAGAGCAGCTTCGATTCAAGACTTGCGCCTCTCCTGCGCACGGTCTCACCGCCGTCGGAGAAAAGTTCATCGCCGCCTCTCAGCTCCGTAACGCATCCGCTTCCTCTGGCTCGATTTTCTTCTGGTCTTGGAACAAGGTTCTTACTTCTCATTCTCCGACTTCACCCACTTTTATATTCTCTGAAGACCCTTTTATTGAGGATTAAAAGATGTTTTTGATTGTAGCCTCAAGTTGAAGTGAGGAGCTTCCCAGTGGAGTCAATAAAAGCTCTTGCAGCAAACACAGAAGGAACTTACATAGTTGGTGGTGGAACCTCTGGAGATATATATCTTTGGGAGGTAACAATTTTATATTTTTAACTTCACTTCTGGTGATCAAACGTATTTGAGCTTCATGGGGGTCTAAAGTACAAACTTGTTCAATTGGTGAAATTAGGTTGCGACTGGGAAGCTTCTTAAGAAGTGGCACGGTCATTACCGTTCAGTAACTTGCTTGGTGTTCTCTGGAGACGACTCTTTGTTGGTTTCAGGATCTCAAGATGGATCTGTTAGAGTCTGGTCTCTAATAAGGTTAAATTTTGTGTATTTCTCTTGCTGGGTTTCAAAATTTTGATTGCAAGGTATTGCCTTTATTCTTATTCCTTGCTCTTGTTGGTTAGTTAGGCTATTTGATGATTTCCAGAGGCAGCAAGGGAACACTCTCTATGAACACAATTTTAATGAGCATACAATGTCTGTAACCGACATTGTCATAGACTATGGAGGCTGCAATGCTATGATAGTTTCTGCTTCAGAAGATCGGACTTGCAAGGTACTTATTTGGACTGTTAATCTTACACATTTGTTAACAACAATGAAGTTAAGTTCTTTCATAAATGATATGGCTTTTATTTGGTATTTCATGACTGTAGGTCTGGAGCCTGTCAAAGGGGAAATTGTTGAGAAATATCATCTTTCCTTCAGCTATCAATGCACTTTCATTGGACCCTGGTGGGTTTGTGTTCTATGCTGGTAGCAGAGATAGCAAGATTTATATCGGCGCCATTAATGCCACAAGTGACTATGGGACACAAGTTCTTGGTTCAGTATCCGAAGAAAGGTACTTCACGTTCCTTATATTAGATACTTTCTTCTTCTCTTTTGTTTGCATCTTGTAAATCATAATATATTTGAACAGTATGTTGATGTAATTTTTTACTCTAAGATTGTTTTTATGAGATATCTCATATATTTGAACATCAGCTTGTAGTAGTTGTTGATTCTAAGATGGTTTTTTTTACTAGATCTCTTAACATGTTGCATCTGATTTTCCGTTTCAACGGATTCAAGTAATTGACTTGTGTTGAAAACTTAACATCCCTTAACTTATTTATAATTATTGACTTAATATTTTTTCTTCTGAGCAGCAAAGCTGTTACTTCCTTAGCATATTGCGCAGACGGAAACCTTTTGATTTCTGGATCAGAAGATGGTAATATTTGTGTTTGGGATCCCAAATCACGTCGTCCTGTTCGTACTTTTGGCCATGGAAAAGGTACATTTGTTAGCATTCTCTTCTGTTTGAGTTTTACTTAGGCAAAATGATCTTTCAGTGACCCCCCATTTTTTGCTTGTCACGAACTTTTCCTTACAGGCCCTGTGAACAATATTCAAGTAGTTAGAAAAACGATTGTTGCTAATTCCAACAAAACGCAATCTTCCTGGAAAAGACACGGGTCGCTCTTACCTCCGCCTTTGGAAAAATATGAAAGATCAGGAGAAGAAAGTATGGATGGTATTGTTATCGTTGATCCACCGCCATCTGCTGATGTTTCTGTTTACTCTTCTTTCCTCAGTGCTGATCTTATTAACGAGCAAGTTAAAGAGCTTCAGGTTTGTGTTTCCTCTGTCTATAGAAAGACAAGATCTTTTTTTGTTTTTTGTTTCTTTGGAGAATGACCCAAAGCCCTGAAATTTCTCTGGAAAACTCTGTTTTTCACAATTGTTTATTTGTTTTTGGTGTTGTTTCAGCAACAAGGCTCTGCAGCAACGGAGATCGAAATGGAAAGACTGAAACTTGAATACAAAAAATCTTTACAGATGAATGATCAGTGGCAGAAGAATTATGAGAATTTGCTTGAGGTCGTCATGGAAGAACAAAACGGTGTTTCAAATTGAAAGTTTTGATTAAACTATTATTGTCTCTATCAATACTTTTTTTTGGAAAAGTATTGAAAGATGTTTTTTCAAAGAGAATTACATTGAAAGTCACTTTTTTAGTTTAGAATTACAGGATTAGGTAATTTGTGCTATTGAAACACTTTATCAGAGTATAAAGTCTTTTTAGCAAAAAAAAAGGACACACGCGAAATTTTTAAGAATAATGTTTATCACATTTAAAAACAGAAACAAAACTCGAAAATAAAATTTTTAAATTTAGAAATGAATTAAATTAGAAACAATTTGTTTAACAGTGTATATATTTGGTTTTATGACAATATTTTTAGTGTTTTTTTGGGATTTAAAGAAAATGAAAGACAATTTCGGATTTAAGGAAAATAATAAATGCATCAATAATAATACAGTGTCTTTTTCTGTAAACCTAACACAAAAATCTGTAAAACAAACTCAAAAACTATGTTTTACAAGTAAAACACTTTTTTCAAATGATATTTAATCTCGCAATTAAAGATGTTTTAGTTATTTTTCCAGTTTCGTTCCTTGTAATGAACATCACTCTCTCTCTCTTTTCTTTTAGGTGTGATTAACATTAAGGCATATGCTAGTATAGAATCAAAATTACATGCAGCAGATATTAATTGTTTCACTAAAACAAGGTGCGGCTCTTGTTCGATTAGTTAAAGATAAGAGAATGCAAAAGAAATATGAAAATTATTTATAGCAAAGATGAAAATTGTATTCAATCAAAATAGTATGTATTGGTAAATGCCCTTTTGTATAGTTTTGTAATCTCTTTTAAGTATTAAGTTCTTAATATTTTCTCTAAATCAAAGAAGAACTCAACACAATTTACTGAGTAGAGCCTCTTTTTTGGACAGCAGCTTTGATGCTTCTTAGAGATTCCTCCCAATCATCACAAAGCCGATGAGGATCGCTAATGACCGTTGGATCAACAGATAAAGAAATAGTCATCTTGTTCATATAACTTTGAAAATGCATCGTCAACGCCTAATCAAAGACCAGTGCGATCGTTTAGTCTTAACTCTAAATCATTAAAAATATAATAGTATAAAATAGAATGGTCTAAAATCTTACATGGGGATGACCATAAACACTTGGGGCCATGTAAGTGACGGGATGTCCATAGAAGCTAATTTCTTCCATAGGACCAACCAAGTTTGAAAACGTCATCGTTGTGTTCGACAATGCTCTATGTAATATATTAGCTGCTCTCTGCATTCATTTAAATTCACAAGATCGGATTTATACTAACTAAGAAAAATATATGAACGTTAGCTTTTATTTTTAATTTGATGGAGTGTTTGTTAGTTGATTAATGACACTTCAAAGTGTATGACTATGGTTAAATTTCGAAATAATTAAATATATAAGAATATTGTATTAAACTAACCTGAACCCCAAGTGATTTGATAATCATTTTACCGACAATGAACGTCAACGCAGCCTCTAACGAGTTCTTCTTCCGGTCGATGATGGACTTGGCTCTTCGGATATGGTCCAACGGGTCATTGTGTAATGCAATAGAGACTGGAAAAACTATGTAACCAATCCAATTTCCCCATCTACACTTGGATCCTTTAGTCATCATATCAGCTAGATCCTGTTTTGTTATCAAAAACAAAAGAAAATTAATTAAAATGTATAGCTTTTATATAATATTGTAAGTAAATGATGTTAATTTGCCTGGATTCCAGTAGTAGGTCTTATGTTTACAAGAACAGCTGCCCTTAGCCTTATTTCTTTAGGAATGGATTCTTCTTGGTCTACTGTTTTCTTCTTCTTCTCTCCTATTATTTATCAAAATTAAAAAACTTAAATTTCTTACTTTGATAACATATTTAATGTTCATTAACAGAAAATTCATAAATATTAGTGATTTACCGTATCTTCTCTTTAAATATTGCGAGAGACCAGCCTGAGATACTCCAAGTATAACGTCGTTGACAGTCTACTAGACCAGAAAATAGATAAAATGGCAAAATCATACATGTCACCTATACTATCTATTTATTTTAATATGGTAAAATTTACGGTTTACCAAGATGAGAAAATCACTTTACCATTTTCATGGCGTTCTTGATTAGCTTTATGTCGTCAAAACTTACGGTACGATGAACCAAACACATCCGTTTACACTTTCTTAACCGAAAATCGCCTTTGATCGGTGTTGACGTGTCCTTGAGAAACAATGTCGTAGCAATAAACTCCAAAGCATCACAAACCGTATTCAAAACCACCATAATCGCCGACCATAGAGCCATAAGCAACCACAATAACCGGGAATCACCCACTGAACCGGGCATTAAACGCGATGACCCAGAAGAAGACTGGTTCTGATACGGGAGGCTCGGGAACTCATCGGGGTTTGATGTTTTACGCGTACACGCGAGGACTAGAGACATTAGAGACATACCATCGCCAACAGAGTGATGGATCTTTAAAATGGCAACGTTTTCAGCGTCTGAGGTTTTCAAGTCGAGTAAGTGAACTTCCCATAATGGCTTCGAAGTGTTTAATGGGGTCGTAGTGAGGTCGGAGACGTAGCTCTCAAGAAAAGCGTCTGCGTTTGCGTTTTCTATATCTTGCGTTTCGAATTTGGGTATGATGACGTGATCCTCGGCCACCACGTTTGTCCGAACCCATTTTTGTTCTTGTCTATTGTTGCTCCCACTGTTCACCTTCAATAAATTTTATTTATTCAAATAAAAATGTTAAAATCATTTTCCTATAAAAATAAGAGAATGCCAAGAATATTGTAAATCAATCGATGTTTTTCTGAAATAATTACTATATTCCTGAAAAAAGAATACCATTTGGTGGAATAACAATGTCCTTTCTTAGTCAACCAGTAAAATTTCAATTATGTGCTACGAAAATGAAAATTGTCCTCCCCGATTTGGAATATAATCCTCAAATGTATATATTCCTGTTGACTAGAAATATATATATATATATACTTTGGATTTCTTTCCTCTCATTTTGACTAAAAACAACAAATCCTTAGTGTTTTCTTTTTCCAATTGATACGTCTTCCTAAGAGCATGTCCATCAGGGGTTCTTCAAGAGTTTATGGCACAGGTTTTAAGACGAAATTTAATAAAATAATAATTTTAAAGGTAGAAGTTCATGGCCCAGGTTTTTCCCGACGAACCTGAAGAACCCAGGTTCATCTAGATTCATCACACGTGGAGCATCCTGATTAGTCCAAAAAAATAATTTTAATTTAAAAAAATAAAAAAAAAATATTATTATATTCGGATGAACCTATTTCTCAGAAGTTCACTGATGAACCTGGTCTAAGCCATATACAATCAATGCGCTGCTATATCGAAATCAATTAGGACTTGACATGGTAGGAGAATTTCATGTACTTGTAAGCATAAAGAAAAACACTATTATATCAATCACACACCAACATCCAATGAAAGATAAATTCATTAAAAAAATGAAAAACATTTTACACATGCAAGAAATATAAATGCCCCACTTGTATATATGCTTTTGTCAATTAATAATACACCCAAGTCATGTCTATGTATTTTTGTTCAATATTCTTTAACAAAAAAAAAAATAATAATTTGTTCAATATTAGTTTCATTTGAACAAAACAAGGTTGGTAAAAAAGCATTTTACACATAATGTTTCTCGTTACCGTTATTTAAAGGTTATAATTAATGTTACCGTTATTTAAAGGTTATAATTAACTGGATATTTATATATGTGTGTGTGTATCATATGTAAGAAAGTGTACAAGACTCACCAATTTACTGGAGAAACGAGGATGTTTAATCAAAGTCTGCTTTATGCCTTGGATAATTTCATCTGGCTTGATCTTGTTCTTCAAACCAATCACCGATATGATGTAGCAGTTGAACTCCGGCGCGTGAAACAGACGCGCCGCCGGGCTAAGCGGTTGCTCGTCCTCTTCTTCCTTCTTTTCCACTGTTATATTCGCTATGTTCCCGTGTCGTCGTCGTAGTGTCTTAATCTCCATTGTTTTGATTATCTCTCTCTATGTGTGTAAGTGTGTAACTCGAGTGAAGTCTCGATTCGAATATTCTCCAGTCGTGCTGTGCCACCTTTTCTTTATAAATTCATGGGTCGTTTTCAGTTTGGAAACTTTCAATTCTTAGTATTCTTTTCGGTCGTAAACTTTCCCTTTCTTTTTATTTTGTGTGGAAACTTTCAATTCATGGATCCAAAACTATACCGATGTATGAGCCTCGCTTAAAGATTATATGGTCCATAAAAAATCCAGAAATACATAGAAACATATCAAAACTAGATGCCTTTTTACCCAAAAAAAATTAATAACTACGATTGGCGTGTAAAGATAATTAATAGAATATACTCTTTTAAGATTACATTTTAGGTACGATTTAATTTGAAATTTATAATTAATATTAGAATTTATAAAAACGTACAAACTATTAAGTTTAGTCATTCAAAACACATAATAAGAAATCTACTGTATTGTAATTCATTAACTTTCAACTACTACTGATCCATTTTGTATAAATGATGAATGAAAACAAGAGGCTATTTAAACAAATGTTTACAAATTTTCTCGAATTAGAAAACAAAATTCTTATAATATAAACAAAGATCGACATTTTAACTATAGTACTTCTTCTAGTTTCTATTTTAAATTTTGAATTTTGAGACTAAGAAAAAAAAAAGATCTTTGTTCGAACTATATTTATTAAAGTTGTTTTTTAGTGTTTATCTGATAAATAAAATTCAATAACATAGTTTATTAAAAAAATTTAACTTATCAAATAATATATAGATGATGCTTACAACAAAAGACAAAACTGTTAGGTGTGACAAAGACAATGTTCGGTGAGTTCCTCTCTGGTTATTGTTGTCAGAAATGTATACAAAATTCTGAACCGATTTCTTAAATTAATAATCAGTAGCATAGTTTTGACAATCCCCCTAGAAAATATAAAATCCATAATTCTCTCACCAAATTTAAAATTGTAACCAATTGCAAAGGTTGCCCATCTGTTGGCAAAGAATAGACCTCCAAATTATAATCTCTATTCGGATTGTGTCTATCCACCACATTGGCTAATTGATACTTTATATTCTAACTATATGATTTTCATTTTTTGTCATTAACTTAAAACGGTCAACTAGTCAAACCGGTGGTATCGAATTTACATATATATGATTTCTAATTAATAAAATCTATTTCGCCGTAAAAAAATATAACCAATTGCAATTTTAAAATTTTTAAACTAAAACTAAAACTATTATTATATATAATTTGATTTGGTCGGTTTTATATCTAAACTATTAGTCCGTTAATTAGTTGTTGGATTAACCTCAGTCCCAACTCCCAAACATGAACGGCACGATTAGGCACGATGCTAAGTTGCTGACGACGATACAAACCTTTCAAGAATCGGCCATAATCTTCTTTCCACCAGATAATGTCTTCCTCAACATTTATTTAGAATTCTATATAGTTTTTAATAATAATTATTATTATATATATAGCTGCAAAATAATAATTATTTCACATTTTTGCCATGGCCATATCTGGAGTTAGGCCAGTTTGATATTCTAGGCTTTTTAACCAATGATATTCTTGGAGTGATTATATATATACAAATACATTTATTAACCCAAAAATTATTCTATATTAATATGATGATCATGCCTCGTACGTTTTACCCCAAACACCACTTTAATTACAATTGTACATACTGGTACGTGGTAAGTGTTTTCTCTTATCACTTTCAATTTTTAATCTTTTTCTCTTTGAATAAGAAGAAAAATAGTAAAGATAGCACAATCTACTGATGAGTGGAGCCTCTTTCTTGAACAGCAATTTTGATCATTCTTAAAGATTCCTCCCAGTCGTCAAGCAGCTGATGAGGATCACTTATGACCATTGGATCAACGGTTACAGAAATCGTCATCTTGTTCATGTAACTTTGGAAATGCATTGTCAACGCCTAATAAAATACCCATAGAAGATCCTCAGATCTTATTCACTAATTAAGAAAAAAAATTTAATAATATAATTTGTTAAAACAACTTACATGAGGATGTCCATAGACACTTGGGGCCATGTAAGTGATGGGATGTCCAAAGAAGCTAATTTCTTCAATAGGACCAATCAAGTTTGAAAACGACATCGTTGTGTTAGACAATGCTCTATTTATTATATTAGCTGTCACCTACATTCATTTCAATTCATATGATTAGATTAACGACCAACTAACAAAAATAAATGATGAGTTAGGTTTTGGTGTTTAACGATATATATCAAATGTGCTAATTATTAGTCTAACTAATTACCTTAACTCCAAACGAGTGGATCATGAGTTTACCAACGATGAAAGTTAGAGCAGCTTCCAACGAGTTTTTCTTCCGGTCGATGATCTTTTTGGCTTTTCGTAGATGTTCTAATGGATCATCGCGTAAACTAATAGAAAACGGGAAGACTATGTAGCCGATCCAATTTCCCCATCTACACTTTGATCCTTTAGCCATCATATCAGCAAGATCCTGTTTGAACCAACAAAATATAAATTTCTTTATCACAAAATAAGTTTATTATATTACCATCGTTAAAAAAAAAAGAAGTGATAAGGTATATGAAATTGCCTGGATTCCAGTGGTGGGTCTTAAGTTTACAAGTATAGCTGATCTTAGCCTTATTTTTTTAGGCATATCATTTGAATTCCTTTTTGATTCTTGATCTTCTCCTATTTTCTTCTTCTTCTGTCCTATTGATTTATCAAAAGATTATCTAAATTCAATCGTTAATAATATGCAATCATGTAAATCTCGTTATATATATTACCATATCTTCTCTCTAAGTATTGGGACAGAGCAGCCTGAGTTACTCCAAGTACTACATCGTTGACAGTCTAGTATACCAAAAAACTAAATAAGTTAAATCAAACGTCGATAATAAACACAAAAATAATGTTAGGAATCTACAGATCTAGAATACTCTATAAAGGATTCTTACCATCTTCATGGTATTCTTGATTAGCTTTATGTCGTCTAAGCTTACGGTACGATGAACCAAAGACATCCGTTTACGCTTACTTAACCGGAAATCGCCTTTGATTGGTGTTTCAGTATCCTTAAGGAAAATTGCCGTAGCAATAAACTCCAAAGCATCACAAACCGTATTCCAAACCAACATAATCGCCGACCATAGAACCAAAATTAACCACAAGAACCGGAAATTACCCCTTGAACCTGCTGTTAACCGGGAAGACCGAGAGGATGATCGGTTTTGGTACGGTAGAGTAGGGAGCTCTTCGGGGTTCGATGTTTTACGCATACAAGCAAGGACAAGGGCCATGAGAGACATACCGTCTCCTAAAGAGTGGTGAAACTTCAAAACGGCGACGTTTTCTGCGTCTGATGTTTTCAAATCGAGCAAGTGAAGCTCCCATAATGGCTTCGAGGTGTCTAAAGGGACCAACGTTAGATCGGAGACGTAGCTCTCAAGAAACGCGTCTGCGTTTGCGTCCTCTATGTTTTGCGTTTGGATGTCGGGTACAATGACATGATCGTTAGCGGAAACGTTTGTCCGAACCCATCTTTGTGTTTGTCTTTTCTTGTTCCTTTTGTTCACCTTCAAATAATTAAATATTTTTCATCATATATGAAAACTAACATAAACATCTTCAGATAATAAACATATGTAGCCACTTACTAAATTTCTGTAAGGGTTAAAAGAGAAAACTATGAATATATTTTTTTTTTCAACAAAGAAAAGGTTAATTCGCAAATACAGATAATTTTTTCAACAAAAAATACATATATATATATTTAATTAATAACATTATTATAATAAAATATGATAACAAATCAAACATGAGCAAAATATTTTGACTATCAAAACTAAAATTCTCGTAAAAGCTAATGAACTACTTAGTCTTTAGACTAAATAAAGCATCAATGTTAGTTTTTTTAGGATGAAATACTCGCGTACTCGATGACCTTTTTTTATCTTTGGGTATACTTCTGTATTGTTAAAAGAAATTGTCTGCGAGATCTTTTTTTTTTAAACCAAAATGGAACAATATCCTCCCACTTAGAAATTTATATTCATTGACCAAAAATATTTCATTAAATGGCCATTTCTTTTTATTATTTTCCGAATTCTAAGTTTTTTCTTGCATAAATATATTTCACAGGTTAACCATTCCAAGCCTTAATAAATTACTATATATATATATATATGTTTCATACTTATATATTGTATCTATAATTACAAAAATACACACAACTATAGTTTTCCCAACAAATTTTGTAATTATAGAAAACAAAGCTATAAGAAAAGTAGACGATTAAATTAACTCTTGAGTACAAGAGACAACAAAAAAAAATATGTACAGACAGTGGTTTAATTTTAGGCGCAACTTAAAATCTTCTCTGGTTTGAGAGCTTTCTAGTGAGACATTGTCAAGAAAAATTCAAAAAATACAAACCCAAAAAAAAACAACCGCCCTACAAAAAGATTATTGGTCAAGAAACACTATCCAGACTCGACGATCACGCAACACTCGGAGAAAAGTCAAAATCCATCAAAATTAGTTAAAAAAGTTTGTATCCATCAAAAAGAGTTATAATTTCTTTTTTCTATATATTTTTGGCCATAGAAAACATTAATATATACGAGTTTCAGATGTATATGGATATACATATTAAGTTTAATTATCTTTGCCATAAAACTTAAGTTACAATGATTTTAATTTCTAAACAGATTTTTATGTATGTAAAAGAGTGGGACTAACCAATTTACTGGAAAAACGAGGATGTCTGATCAAACTTTGCTTTAAACCTTCGATAATCGCATCTGGCTCGATCTTCCTCTTAACACCGATCACCGTGATAACATAACAATTAAACTCCGGGGCGTGGAACACACGCGCCGCCGGACTAAGCGGTTGCTCCGCTTCTTCTTCCTCTTTGCTCACGGTGGCCTCTGATAGGTCTCGTCGTGTGTCTATCTCCATAGTTTGCTGTTCGGTCTTAACCCTTCTCTTTCTCTCTCTCTCAACATAAAATATTCGCTCTTTTAATATAGCCTCCAATTGTGCTATGCCACTTTTCTCTTTATATAGTGTTTTGAAAAATCTAATCACTTTCTAACCAAAAAGAATTAGCATCGTGGATAGTTTAACCCACAAGCTTACATACCCAATTATAAATTTAATATATGTGGCGTTTATAAAAAAGTTATTTTTTTTAAACATCAAAAAATATATTATTCTCTCTGTTTTATAATATAAGATGCTTTTTTTTTCTTTTATAAGATGTCTTCTATGCAAATTTTCATGTTATCTGATATAGTTTTTTGAATTCTGCAATCTTTTCTATTGGCTAAATTATTATTTTTACTAATAATTAAATAAGATGTTTTAATTCTAAAAATTTCTTAATTTCCACACTTTTATCTACTGATGGCTCTTTAACTGGACTGATATATATATATATATATAAGACTAATTTTGTTTTATTATTTACCCTCTTTCCCTAAGCGTTATATCATTTTTTCTCTGCATGTATTAAATAATATTATAGCACTATCAATTGATAATATTTAATGTATGCAGAAAAAAAATCATTTAATGTATGCTGGGTTTAGATACTCCAAAATAGACCAATGGAAATTTTAAAGTTTTTGGAGATAATATACTGTCTTATAAGCCTTGTCTTATAGACCAAGGCTAATTACCTTGCTGTTTTATTATATAGGTAATAGGAAGTTCAAAAACCTTTTTTGTGAGGTAAAAAGTTCCCTTGATCCGTTGATCGACAAGATAACAAAAGAGCTTATGAATAACAGACCTATAGGCTATAGGTGGTCCGAAAATCGAGAAAGAAAGATAAATTCATATTTTCAGCCTCCCAAATAATAAAATAAACTTGGGTTGATTATCCAATCCAATGGAAAAGAGATATCGGAAATACATTATTATAGAGGATCTAAAAGATCGGACCAAACACTTCTTTCAAGAGCTCCAAAGACGTGGAATCAACAATAAATAAAAAAACTATTGACCTTTTGTCGGAACAGAAAGAATTCATTGAGAAAAAAAATAGATAAATGACCGCTCTGAATATATATAACTCACCATCTTATTTAATTCTAAGAAATATGTTTCGAAACCTTGGTAGCAATTTCATTTGAAAGAATGTTCTCCAAAGACCAGATAAAGGCTTCTTGTAGACGCACTCACTCAAAATTTCAAATATTTAACAATCGTTTACTGGTCGATTTATGATTCGCTCTCGTGACTCTGACGCTCATATATCTTCTAATAACTTAATTATACATGAATTGTACTTTTGAAATTAGTCAAGTATTTACAACTCGTTCTAGTACTTCTCCGCGATTGATTTAGACTCTTCTTTTTATTATACAACAGTTTTTTTTTCTCTGTTTGACAGCTACATGTACGACATTTATAAATCAAATTCAATGAGATTAGTATGACAATATGACCGTTATACAGAAAGACAGAAAATTGACCACGTCAATAATATATTTTCTGTTTTTAACAGATTATAGGGAGATAACATGAATTTATCCGACTGACTGAAATATACACACGCATATGAACAAGTGTCAGCACATATAACAACAATAATTAATAATAATATAAATTCATGGTCTAACACGGCACGATGCTAGCTAGTGACGACGACACAACCATTGAAACCAATAATAACGTCGGTCGCCTTTATATCTCACAACAACAATAATATCTAATATCTATGGGTAGACTCACAATATGTTATATAATTTTTTTTTTTAATATCTGTAGCCTGTATACAATACTAATTTCACTACAAGAAAGAGGGGCTTTTCCGTCGAATTATTTACGACGATTTGTAGTCGTCGTAAATACGACGTAATGTCGTCGTAAATTTACGACGATCAAAAATTTTGTCGTAAATTCGACATAAAAAATAACCCTCGTAAAATCGCCGTAATATTACGACGATATTACGACGAATAAAGAACGAATTTTATTTCATCGTAATCTTGTCGTAATATTTACATCGATAATACGACGAATTGTCCTCTATCTTGTAATTGACGTAAAATCGATGTAAATATGATGTAAATTTTATTTCGACGTAAATTTGATGTAAATATGCAATGGTAATATGTTGGTAACCAAACAAAAAATTCTATATATACCCTTTCTTCTCTCATTATTCCATCAACCCAAAAAAACATATAAAGACACAAATTTTTTGAGTCTTTGAATGTTTAAGTAAAATTTTTAGTAGTTGAAATTTCTATCAAATTTCAGAAACAAAAAGTCAAATATTTGTTTTTGAAATGTCTATATACGATCTACGAAAGTGGATGTATATGCCCAAAAATGGTGATGGGTCGTTGACTGAAGACTTCAAAAACGGATTGGAAATATTCATGTACCAAGCCGGCCTTCTGGAAACTGTAATTGAAAGCGGCAAAATGTATTGTCCTTGTGTGAAATGCAAAAATAGGAAACATATTCTTATTGACACTGTCTGGCAGCATTTATTGAATAGAGAGTTCATGCCCCAATACTTTATTTGGTATCAGCATGGAGAGGGATATGGTCAAAGTAGTGGTCAGATGGCTGCACGGAGTAGTAGTAATCATCAAGAACATGTGGATTTTGAAGCGTCCAATGATTATCAAAGTAGTCAAGTTCAGGGTGAAGATCATGATAGGATGCATGAAATGATTACTGATGCATTTCATGAAACACATGCTGATACTGTTGAGGAGCCCAATGCAAATGCGAAACGCTTTTATGATATGTTAAACGCAGCAAAACAGCCTCTGTACGAGGGATGTAGGGAAGGTTTATCAAAATTATCATTGGCAGCTCGGATGATGACAATAAAAACTGATCACAATCTATCTGAAGTTTGCATGAACGATTGGGCAGATCTTATTAAAGAGTATTTGCCAGATGATAATTTGGCTGCTGAAACGTATTATGAAATTCAGAAGCTGGTTTTTAGTCTTGGATTGCCTTCTGAGATGATTGATGTTTGTGTTGATAATTGTATGCTTTTTTGAGAGATGATGAGAAGCTTGAAGAATGTCGTTTCTGCCAAAAGCCAAGATATCCGCAAATTGCTGGGCGTAAGAAGATTCCTTACCAACGAATGTGGTATCTTCCTATCACTGATAGGTTAAAAAGACTATATCAATCCGAACGGACAGCTGCGTCGATGAGATGGCATGCGGAACATTCACAAACAGATGGCAAAATGACTCACCCGTCTGACGGGAAATCTTGGAAACATTTTAACACCGTACATCCAGACTTTGCTAGGTCTAAGCGAAATGTTTATCATGGTCTTTGCACTGACGGGTTTAGTCCATTTGGTATGTCTGGTAGGCAATATTCATTATGGCCTGTGATTCTTACGCCATATAACCTTCCTCCAGATATGTGCATGCAAAGAGAGTTTTTGTTTCTAAGTATATTAGTCCTTGGTCCAAATCACCCGAAGCGGGCCCTTGATGTGTTTTTGCAACCACTCATACATGAGTTAAACCAGTTGTGGCATGTTGGAGTACGAACATATGACTGTTCGAGTGGTAAAAATTTTACGATGCGAGCGGTGCTTATGTGGACAATAAGCGATTTCCCGGCATACGGAATGCTATCAGGTTGGACAACGCATGGGAGGTTATCATGTCCTTATTGTCTTCATAGGACTGATGCATTTCAGCTTAAACATGGTAGGAAAACCTGTTGGTTTGATTGCCACCGTCGGTTTTTACTACCAAACCATCAATATAGAAGAAATAGGCGTTTGTTTATAAAGAACAAATTGGTTCGTCTCCCTCCACCAGTGTACCTAACTGGAGTAGAGCTTGAAGCGCAAATAGATCATTGGGGTGGACTTGAAACGGTCCCCCTTGGAGGAAATTGGCATACTCCTGCGAATATGCCTGACGGATATGGGGTTCATCACAATTGGCACAAGAAAAGTATATTTTGGGATCTGCCTTACTGAAAGATCATTTGCTTAGACATAATCTTGATGTTATGCACATTGAGAAGAATTTTTTCGATAACATCATGCATACTGTTTTGAACGTCCAAGGAAGAACCAAAGACAGCGTTAAATCACGGATGGACTTACCCGATATATGTAACAGAATTGAGTTGCATATGGTGAGTAATGGGAAAGCACCTGTTCCTGTATTTTGGTTGGGTGCTGAACAAAAAACAGCATTGTTTAATTGGGTATCATCAGCCGTGAAATTTCCTGATGGATATGTATCTAATCTGGCTAAATCTGTGGATAAAGGACAAAAGTTTTCAGGGATGAAAAGTCATGATTGTCATGTGTTTATGCAACGGTTACTTCCTTTTGCGTTTGCTGAACTCCTACCGGGACATGTCCATGAGGCACTAGGAGGCATTGGAGCTTTCTTCCGTGATCTAAGTACAAGGACATTATCAGAAGATGTAGTTGCACAACTGTCTACAAATATTCCAATATTGTTGTGCAATTTAGAGAAAATATTCCCACCTGCTTTCTTCGATGTTATGGAACATTTACCTATACACCTCCCTCATGAAGCAGAGTTAGGAGGACCTGTTCAGTTTAGGTGGATGTATCCGTTTGAACGATTTATGAAGCATTTGAAGGGTAAGGCCAAAAACTTAGCAAAAGTTGAAGGGTCTATCGTGGCGGGAAGTCTGACAGAAGAGACTTCTCATTTCACGTCTTATTACTTTGCTCCAAAGGTTTGTACACGCAAACGGGCTCCAAGACGTTACGACGATGGGGGTGTAGGACAAAGTTACGCAGTAGAAGGTGTGCCTGATATATTCTCACAAATTGGACGTCTAAGTGGGAAACTAAAAGAAACTTGTTGGTCAAACGAACAAGACTACCACAGCGCACATACATATATACTTCTGAATTACGAGGAATTGGCACCTTACGAGAGGTACATAATTATAACCATGTATTATTAAAATTTGATTGAACAGACGAAATGTCCTTAACAATGTTTTAAAATTTCAGCACTTTCGTCAGTCAAGTCCGAGAATGCATTGACGGTGTTTCAGAAGATGAAATTAACAAGCGAAAAGAC